TCTTTGCTGCATCCCACAGATTTTGCTGTGTTGAGTTATTGTTGTCGTTTGTCTCCATATATTGCATGATCTCTGTTTTAATTTGGTCATTGATCCATTGATTATTTAAGAGCATGTTATCAAGCCTCCATTTGTTTGTGGGCTTTTTTGGTTTTTTTGCATAATTTATTTCTCATTTCATACTTTTGTGGTCTGAGAAGCTTGTTGGTAAAATTTCAATCTTTCTAAATTTACTGAGGCTCTTTTTGTTGCCTAGTATATGATCTATTCTTGAAAATGTTCCATGTGCACTTGAGAAGAATGTGTATTCTGCTTTTGGGTGGGTTGTTCTGTAGATGTCTGTAAGGTCCATCTGTTCTAATGTGTTGTTCAATGCCTCTGTGTCCTTACTTATATTCTGTCTGGTTAATCTGTTCTTTGGAGTGAGTGTTGTGTTGAAGTCTCCTAAAATGAATATATTGCATTCTATTTCCTCCTTTAATTCTGTCAGTATTTGTTTCATATATGTAGGTGCTCCAGAGTTGAGTGCATAGATGTTTATCATGGTTATATCCTTTTGTTGGACGACCCCTTTATCATTATGTAATGTCCTTCTTTGTCTCTTCTTACTTTCTTTGTTTTGAAGTCTTATTTTGTGTGATATAAGTATTGGAACTCCTGCTTTTTTCTCCCTATTAGTTGCATGAAGTATCTTTTTCCATCCCTTTACTTTTAGTCTGAATATGTCTTTGGGTTTGTAGTGAGTCTCTTGTAGGCAGCATATAGATACGTTTTGTTTTTTACCCATTCAGTGACTCTATATCTTTTGATTGGTGCATTCAGACCATTTACATTTAGGGTGATTAACGATAGGTATGTACTTGTTGCCATTACAGGCTTTAGATACGTGGTTACCAAAAGTTCAGGGGTATCTTTCTTACTATCTAAGAGTCTAATTTAATTCACTTATGCTATTACAAACACAATATAAAGGTTCATTTTTTTCCTCTCCTTTTTCTTTCTCCTCCATTGTTTATATATTAGGTGTCATATTCTGTAGTCTTTGTCTATCCCTTGACTGACTTTGGGGTAGTTGATTTAATTTTGCATCTGCTTAGCAATTAATTCTTCTACTTTTTTTAGTGTGGTTTTATTTCCTCTGGTGACAGCTATTTAGCCTTAGGAACACTTCCATCTGTAGTGGACCCACCAAAATACACTGTAGAGACAGTTTGTGGGAGCTAAATTCTCTCAGCTTTTGCTTATCTGGAAATTGTTTAATCCCTCCTACAAATTTAAATGATAATCTTTCTGGGTGGAGTATTCTTGGTTCAAGTCCCTTCTGCTTCATTGCATTAAATATATCATGCCACTCCCTTCTGGCCTGTAAGGTTTCTGTTGAGAAGTCTGATGACACCCTAATGAGTTTTCCTTTGTATTGATGTTTTTCTCTCTCTGGCTGCTTTTAATAGTCTGTATCCTTGATTTTTGCCATTTTAATTATTATATATCTTGGTGTTGTCTTCCTTGGGTCTCTTGTATTGCAAGATCTGTACCTCTATGGCGTGAGAGACTATCTCCTTCCCCAGATTGGGGAAGTTTTTTGCAATTATCTCCTCAAAGACACTTTCCATCCCTTTTTCTCTCTCTTCCTCTTCTGGTACCCCTATAATGTGAATATTGTTCCATTAGGATTGATCCCACAGTTCTCTCAATATTCTTTCATTCCTAGAGATTCTTTTTTCTCTCTCTGCTTCAATTTCTTTGTATTCCTGTTCTCTAATTTCTAATTCATTTACTGTCTCCTCTACTTCATTTTAATCTGCTTTAAAATCCCTCCATTGTATGTTTCATTTCAGGTACTATATTCTTGAATGTTTATATCTCATTCCTGAATTCCTTCCTGAGTTCTTGAGTATTTTTCTGTAGCTCCATGAGCATGTTTATGATTTTTATTTTGAAATCTCTTTCAGGAAGATTGATGAGTTCAGTTTCACTTGGGTGTCTTTCTCGTGTTTGTGGGATTTTAGTTTGAACCAGGTTCCTTTGATGTTTCATATCTGTAGGTGGTGCCCTCTAGTGCCCAGAAGTTCTATTCTCTGGAGTTGCTCAGCCCCTGGAGTGATGGTGGGGGGGTCACAGGGGAGCGGCGCTGGTGCCTGTCAGGAGGAAGGACGTCTTTCCTGCTTTCCGGTTGCAGTGCCTTTCTCCACTGCCAGCACCAGTGGGCTGAGCATACAGGGAGAAACCTCTCTGCTTTGCATTTGTAGCTGACATAGGTGGGGCTGCCCTTTGGCTGGCCTGTACAATGACAGGGGCATTCGATTTATGAGCCATTGCTGGCTGGGAGTAAGGTGCAGCAGGCTGCTTATCATGGTGGGGGTTCTTGTAGCTGCATAGCCAGCCAGGGTGATGGAGTGCTTGAAGCTCCTGAAAGTTCCCAACCTGCTGCTGGGCAGAATGCACCCAGACAATTTTGTCCACCTGTCCTTTCTCCTGAGCAGCAAGCTCTGTATAGTCCGTGCCCCTTTAGCAGCCCTCTCGCTGTTAGGAATTCTCTCAGAGTGCATGCCTTTCTTTTGTCCAAGGGTGGCCAGATGTTGATTCCTATTTCCCACAAGTGGCTGGGATCTCAGTCTCTCCAGGTATTCCTCCTGTCTTAGCTTTCCAACCCCACTAATCTCCAGAGTACCATGTAGTATAGGTTCATGCTCCTAGAGCAGATCTTCAGGGCTGGGTGTTCTGTGCTCCTTGATTTCCAACCCGTTCCTGCTCCATTTCTCTTCCTCCCTCTCATGTGCTAGGGGAAGGTTTGGGTCCCTCTGCATCATGGCTTTCGTACTTTACCCTTTTCCTTGAGGTCTACTGGTTTTCCCAGATGTAGACAGTCTGCCGCAGCCTTCTTTCCTGTTGTTCTTTCAGGATTTGATGTATTTGCTGTATTTTCATATTATATGTGGTTTTGGGAGGAGGTTTCTGTCTCACTTCTCATGCCTCCATCTTTAGTCCTCCATCCTGGTCATATATATTTCTTCTTTGAAGGAGTATCTGTTCATGTCCTTTGTCCATTTCTTAATCAGGTTATTTGTTTTTGGGTTGTTTTTGTGTATGAGTTCTTTATATGTTTTGGATGTTAACCCTTATTGGATGAGTCATCTATAAATATATTCTCCCATACTGTAGAGTAGTTTTTGTTCTGCTGATACTGTCCTTTGCTCTTGAGAAGCTTTTTAGTTTGATGTGGTCCCACTTGTCCATTTTTTATTTTGTTTCCTGTGCCTGAGAAGATGTGTCCAGGAAAAAATTGCTCATGCTTATATTCAAGAGATTCTTACCTATGTTTTCTTCTAAGAGTCTTATGGTTTCATGACTTACATTTAGGTCTTTGATCCATTTCAAGTTTACTTTTTTGTGTTTAGGGTTAGACAGTAATCCAGTTTCCTTCTCTTACATGTAGTTGTCCAGTTTTCCCTTTGTGTTGTCTGTTAATGAAATTTGACTAATTTGAGAAGTCTGCTTACTGACACTCCTTACATATGTGAATTCAAAGGTTTAACATTGGAATTTTTGAAGCAACTAGCTAAGTGGGGAAAAAATGTGATATCCTTATGACCTTGTATTATGCTACATATGAAATGAGTTTCTATTTCACTTACAGTTAAATAATACTACTTTACCTGTATCTAAACTAAGCTTTTATGTTGTTGCTATCTCACCTGATATGGTTTCATTAAAATAAATGTATGTAAGAAATGAAAGAGAATTTTATTTTAAAATGGTGTTTTACATATAAGACAATTGCTCAACTTTTACATTATTGGGGCAAACAATTTGACATAGGTTTTATTTATATTTTATTGATTTCTTCAGAGACATATGTAGCAGAATGTTTCTTCAACACTTTACTGTATAAAATTCCAGTGTAATGATTTTACTCCTGGCCTTTAAACTAAAATAATAATTTTTTAAAATTTAAAATTTTTCATACTTTAGCAAACATTTAGTGTCCACTTACTGTGTGCTAGCATCATACTTTGTATTTAATAATATTCACTCTGAATATGAGAGTTAGGTTAATTTTAGTAAGTCTATATTTTTAGTGAGGTTAGGGTATAGTTTCAACATAGTGATGAAAGGTAATAGTATTGTAAAATTCTATTTCTATAAATACTAAAAAGAAATATTCTGTATAATAGAGCTGTCATTTTGTCTTTGTAGAGGATTTTCCTATAGTTTTTGTGGATCTGATTAGAATTATTCATAATAAATACAAATAACTTTAATTCTATAAACTTCATGCTTTTAGAGCATAATTTATTTGCATGCTCTTTTAGATTTTTAGAGGAAATTGCTACTTGATGGTAGGGCAGAGTTTTGTAAAGAACTTGTTTATTTCATTAAATAGTAAGTTTCTTGTAATCCTCTTTACTTCTGGAACTATTCTAATACCTCCTACACCCATCTGAAATCCTTTTCCAATTCTCTTCTATAAACATTCCCAAATGAATCCATTGATATTAGAAATATAAAATTGTTTGGGGTCAGGGGAATGCCATCTCTTTTTTTCTAATGAGTTTATAAGAGGGATTTTGAGTTACTAATCTATGAAACCAGGACTCAACATTATTTCTTCTTTAGAGCCTTTAAATAAAAAAATTTCTAGAAATTAATTTGTTTAAATAAAATTCTGTTTTAATATAGTAATTTTTATGTACTTTAAGGTTTTGCAATTAAATTTTACTTATACCAGTATGTCCAAACTCAAATATATTGTTTTCTATCCCTTAGTTTGACTATTAGTAATGTGTTATTTTTGTAGAATTTAAAATTAGTAACACACAAATTAAGATATTCATAAACTAGAGCAGCAATATCTATGGCAAACACATTTACATTGGAAATGTAGAAGTCTCTTAGATGTATATATTAAAGACTTCCTATAAAATTTTCTCAACAGTTGTTGCTAAATTTCAGCATTACTCACTTGCCTTCATTAAATGGATTTTAATTTCCTTCTCTAGAAAGGGAGTTCTGGGAATTATGTAACAAGTGTAATTTGATGAGACCAAAGCGTTCCCATCACTGCAGCCGCTGCGGTCACTGTGTTAGGAGGATGGATCATCACTGTCCATGGTAAGAAGTGTATAATTCACTTTTAGAAAAAAATATTAAAAGGTATATCTTAGTACTTCTCAGATTTAAACAAAAGTTATACTGAAGTTAAACAGTTGAAAAAATCTAGTAAGGATACATTTTTGGTCATATGGTTCTATCAACTCTCAAAGTCATTTTTGTATAGAATTCTCTTTTCTAATAAGGAGATAATTGAGCAGAAAACTGAGAACAAGCAGATATACAACAACTCAGATAAACAAAAGAACTCAGGTGTTTATATTAAATGAGACAATGTATGTGAAACATTAGTATAGTTTTGACACCTAGAAAGTACTTACATAGTAGTTAATTGTTTCTAACTGTAATAAACCAAATATATCTCATTGTTTATATTTCCATTCCCATTTGTTTAATGAAAGAATAACACATTTCAGATACCCTGATACCTCATTTCTCTCCCTCTAAGACTTTGTAAGTATTATCTATTGGTTATAAGTATTAACATTCCATGCATGCTGGATGTGAGTAAGTGGTAGCAGATTCTGCTGAACTGCCAGCATTTTTGGTCAATAGGGGGCTCTCTTGTAATATTAAAGAAAATGTTCAGTTGCAAAATAGAATTTTTGAAAACAAATGATGTGAGAATTCTGCATTGTATCTCATTTCAAAGCTGTCACAAAAATCTGTGAACAAGATATTGTATTTAATTCTGTTTTCCTAGTATGGGATCCCTGTATAAATATTTAAACTGGTATAGTGTAGCACTTTATAAATATATCTACATATATATGTTTGTACACCCATGCATATATACAAAGTTAACTACATAATGGGCTTCTTAAATTTATAACTGAACTTAAAGTTGGCTCAAGGGCAGAGTTTAGCTTTGCCTAATAATGCTAATGAATTTAGAGTTTCCCTTATTTTTTGATAACTTATTTTGATAGCACAAATTAATATTAGCAAGCTTTTGGTGAGAGTTTGGTTTTTACTATAAACTGTTTAAGTAGAAGATAATTTCCTGAGATTAGAAAAAAAATAAAAGCATCTTAGATAAAAGTACTTTGTTACTGTATAAAAATGCTTTAAATTGTCTAATTACATCAAAAGGATAGTATATATCCTGTTATATATATATATATGTATATATACACACTATATATACTGATAGCTGTATACACACTATATGTAGTTAGATAGTATATAAATAGATGTATAGTTTACAAATAGATGTATAGTGTATAAAATATAGTTGGTGTTTGAAAGATGTGCCGTGAATTTAAACAGATTAACACTCAAGTGATTTTCTAAACCTCAGTGATCTGTTTATAATACTAGATTTAAAAAGGCTAGGTAAAACATATATTCACATCAGTGATAATCACTGAAAAACTCAATTTATGTATGGACTTTTTAGAGTTATGTTTCTGATTAAAAATATAAATGTTCATGATATAGTTGGGTGTTGGTACTTCCTTCTAAAAGAATGTGATTGTTTGAGCTTAATAACTACACATATAGGAAATGTTTTGGTACTAAAGAGATTAGTTATATTATTTATGTATTTTTAATGAATAAAGACTATATTGGTGACAAAAGTGCTATTTAACCGTAATTCTAAAATTGGAGTGAGTTCTTTGCTCCTAGGCCTCTTGCTTCCATAGTTTTAGTTAACTGCTTAGAATATTGGTGGGGAGAAGAGTGGCAGTGGCAAGAGTTGGAGGATAGGAAAGGAGGGTAGGCAGGGGCCTATATGGACTTAGGGATTTCCTGATTGAATTCCCTAATAGAGTGTTGCTGAGATATTTAGAGTGATGGAGGTGTATGGTGTAAATTGGAAGCAAAAATAATTTTTGGTATTCTCAAAAACTGTATTATCCTAATAACTGTCTGACAGCTTTAGATTTGGAGGTCAGTTCTCAGATCACCTCAAGATTTTCTCTGTTTCTGGCTCTGATCTCTCTAAGTAGTTTACTAGCAAAAGAACTCTTACATATAGATTGAGTATTTTAGTGTTTCTTAAAGTTCTCTGGTTAAGAAGAATGTCATGATCATAGCAGTTATTTCTCAGACTCTACAGGGATGGGAAGAATGGGACAAGGATAAGTCATCTTTCAAGCAACAGCTGTTTTTGAGTGCATACATAAGCACACTTCTCTGATAGCCCTGCTTGCAAATACAAATCATAGGAAAGTCACCTAAGCCTCTGCAACGTTATTTTTTTTTTCAAATGGTGGCAGTATAATGGTGTATTGAAATTGAAACCTTTGTGCAAGGTAATTTATAATTTTGAACTATAAATTCAAAACTGTAAATTCAGGGTTTTTTTTCTGGAATTGTGAATATTTTGAAAATTTGGATACAATAAATGAATTTGGAACAATAAAACCTGTTGCAGTTGTCTTGAGAATTTTGAGATTAAGCATTAATTCTTTTTCCTGTTCACTAGTGTATTGGTGGAAGTGTAGCTCTAAGGATTTGTAAATAGGTTTTGCATATGTGTTTATTTGCAGCAACTGAGGATAGATTTTTAAAAGTAAGAAAAATTGTGACTGCTTAGCAGTTATGGCAGGTTTAAGTTACTTTACTTCATATCAAATTGTTCTTTAAAGCTAGAATGTTGTAATGGAAGAGCAATATATATAGAAGAGGGTTCTTGTTCTCTTGGCCACTACATCTAACTGTACGTCCTCTAGTAAGTGTCTTAACTCCTTTGTTCCTGTTGCCGCATCAATGAAACAAGGAGGCTGCCACCTGCTCTTCAGTATTACTGGGTGGTTGTGAGTTGAAGGGGGATCATATACATGGACTTCCTTTGTGAAGTAGAAAGTGCTTTTCAGATGGGAGGTAGCATGTTTACATCTTTTCCTATGCACTGTTTGTTTTAGGTTTGAATGGGTTTAGCGTATCTCTGTGAAGTTAAGCATATTTGAAGTTGTTTGTGTTTTAGTTTTACCAATCCTGGAATTAACATTTTATTAAAGTTTAAAATACTGTATCTTTTTCATTTTTTTTCTTCAGGATTAACAATTGTGTTGGTGAAGATAATCATTGGCTTTTTCTGCAGTTGTGTTTCTACACTGAACTTCTTACTTCCTACGCACTGATGTTTTCTTTTTGCCACTATTATTACTTTCTTCCACTAAAAAAGCGTAACTTGGTAAGGAATGTTTATATCCACTCATGTTAGAGCAGCTGTAGTATATAGTCATTAACATGTGGTTCCTTAAGTGCAGAAGATTGAGAACATAAACAAACTTAACCCACAATTGGTGAATTTTAAAATATATTGGGATTGAGAAAGTAGACCCTTTACCTGACATTCCTTTTTAACCAATTCCATTTATGATTATTTATTAGTATTGAGTGACTTTCTTTGAAAAGCAGCATACTATATCTTTCAATATATATGTTTTCGTTTAAAAATATCTATAATAATAACAAAGTGGAAAATGTTTACTTTTTGTTTTTTTTTTTAGGAGTGAAAATAGACTTTTATTTTTTAAAGGTTATCAAAAGAATGTTTAAAGTTCTTGAGAATAAGGACTTTCCCCCACCCTGACTTTCAACAATAACAATAAGAAGAATGTGCAGGATGCTTTAAAAAGTTATTATATATACCATTTGAAGTAATGCTTTTCCCATTTCTAGAAGAACTGTGTAATAGATGTTAATAAGGCTTGTTCAAAGTGGTGATAGTTGCGATGATAGTAGTGATGGTGGTGGTGGTTGTAATAGCAGCAACTAGAAGTTTAAAGTCTGATTATATATCAACACTACACTGTTGTCATGTCATTTTAGTTCTCACTTGAATATGCACAATAACCACGTGAGTTGGGCATGATTTTCCCCCCATTGTTATAGGTGAGGAACAGATTAATAGAGGTTAAATAAGTAGTTACTGAAGACACAAAGCTGGGGCGTGATTTTTTAGAGTACTGTGTATGTGTGTGTGTGTGTGTGTGTGTGTGTGTGGGAGAGAGAGAGAGAAGAGACAGCACCCACAGCAATAACGTAAGGAAGAAAGCGAGCAAGGTACGGAAGGAGAGAGGGAAAAGAGAATAGAACCCTCGAGAAGGAGAATTTTTCTTCCTATCTGTATTATTTTATACTGTTTAAATCTTTTACATTAAAAATAACAAGTTCAGTAGTGGTGCATACAATTAAATTCTGGAACCAAGGGAGCAAGTGAGAGAAGGTCTAAGTTCTGTTTTTATATACATAAAGATCTAAGGTCTAAGATCTATATATACATGGAGGTTATTTGCTATTGTAGCTTTGCTGCATGTATTAGTGGGGCCTTGTGATTATGCTTATTAAGTATAGATTGAACAATTGAGAATAGATACTAATAACTAAAAATTTTTCAAAGTGGAGAACTTTAAATATAGGTGTTTGACATTTTCACACAGAACTTAGTGCATGCAATTGTATAGTTTTAGAAATATTTCATTTATAGATTTCTGATATAATTGGTATTATAGTCAGAATATGCAAAAAGTTACAGATATTCCTCCAAGGTAATTGAGGGGGGAATTTCAAATAATTGAGCCTAATAAAGAAAAGCATTGAAATAAAATTGCCCAGTAAGATTAAGGTCATAATTTTTTAAAAAGTGAGAGAGAGAGAGAGAGAAAATTTAGAGGTATTAATGTAAACCTAATGGTTCTCCAGGAGGGAATGCATTGTAGTATCCTGGAGGAATTGGCAGACTATGAGCCTTGGGTTAAATATGACCCTCATCCTGTTTTTATTAATAAAGTTTTACTGAAACACAGCTACTCACATTTGTTTACATATTGTCTACTGTTGCTTTTGGGCCACAACAGCAGAGTTGAGTAGTTGTAAAAGAGACATTGGAAGCCTAAAATATTAACTATCTGACTCTTTATATTGAGTTTGCTAACACCTGGTAGTGGAAAGATCTTGGCTTTGTAAACAGACATACCTAGGATCAAAACCTGGCCTTTCTTGTTATATGTATAACCTTAGAAACGTCATTTAACCTTCTCAATTGCAGTGTACTCTTCTGAAGAACGTGAATAGTAGTGAGATGAAATGAGATAATAAATGTGAAAGTACCTGGTATATAATAGGTGTTCAGTTTATGTTACGTTTGATTTCAGTGAAAGCTCTCAGAAGGAGGGAACAGTTTTCTTTGGCTTATTAATATTTATGAAAAATTTACAGACTGTTTAACTGTATTACTGGGAGATTGATGGCAGACCAAAGAAATCCCCAAACTCATATAAGAATGTAAGGGTAATATTTAACTTAAAGATTAAGACATTTGAAATTACAAAGTGATTTCCCTTTCCAAATGAAGGTAGAAACTGTAGAAAAATTACTAACAGTTGGAGAGAAAATCTTTTTTTAATGGAAATGCTGATTATAGGTGATAATATTTAAATACTTAGAAATATTATATATATAAACATAAATATATTTACATGCATACTGAGTGTTAATGAAAGACTAGCAGCATAGTAAAAAATTATTAAGCAATTAATAAATGAGGAAGAAAATATAAAAAGTAAGTACAAGATGGATTTGAAAACTCAAACCAAATTTTCCTTAGAGCAATCAATTGTAGAAGCAATATAGGTGATTTCTAATTTTTTAAAAATCATAATAGTATGTTAGTCAATAGGATAATAAAGCAAATAATTAGATCATATTGATTGTAATAATGCTACTTTGGTAATAAGCAGTAAACTGTAAATCATTCTAGTGATCTGACAGTTAATTACTGGTACTGAGCAGGAATTATGCTCTTAACACAAGTCTTATAAAATCCTTGCTGTATAAGAATTTTCAGATTAAGAATTATAATTACCTTCATGTTAGAGATAATGAAATTGAAACTTAAGGAGGTATGTTATGACATTTCCAAGATCATTTAGCATTCTATTGAGGAATCCAGTATGTTTTAACATTGTTTATGGTACATTCTCTGATTGAATGAAGTGATTCATGTATTTTCAATTTAGTTACATGGAGAAGAGAACTTTACCATAATGTTATCCAATATAAGAAGAGACAGTTTTGTTTGACTCATCTAAATACTTAAAAGTAGTATGTTTATTATTGGTGTTTTTAACCTACTGGAATTTACTAGAATAAAGTTTAATTCAAAGACCAGAATTGTAATTAGACCTGGGGAAAGTATAATTTGTATAGTCTCAAATAGTCCAATTATCCAAAGCAAAATGACTGTTCAATAGGCACAAAATATTCATTGAAATGAATTCTAGTCATTTCATTGATTTAGATGTTGATAATTTGAAGCTGTATTACTAGGTGCATACAGTCTTAAAATTCTATTATCTTTCTGATGGGTTGACTCTTGTATCACTATAAATTGCACCTCTTTATCTGAGGTGATGATTCTTGCCTTAAAAGTATTTTTCTTTTCGTTATTAATTTAGCTGTGTCAGCATTCTTTTGGTTATATTTTCATCGTTTATCTTTTTTTAATCTTCTTTACTTTCGATCTTCCATGGTTGTCTTGTATGTGTGTCTTGTAGATACTAAACTCCATTAAAAAAAATCTAGTGTGATAATATTTGTCTTTTAATTGGAATATTCAGTTGATTTTTACTTAGTGTAACTTATATTAACTATATCATCTTACTGTTCATTTTCTATTTGACTCTTTTGTACTTTGTTTCCATTTTTCTCCAATTCTTGTCTACTTTGGAATTTTCAGTTAAAAAATTATTACAACTTACCCGTTCTGATGGCTTTTCTTTTTTTATTCTTCTTTTAATTGTTATTCCCAAAGATGAAAAGATTCTTCCTGAATATTTTGAAGTTTAATATGTTAGTACTTTGACAATTGCCCAGGTAATGAATGCAGCAGCCTTAGAACACCCCCCTCATCATCATTTCTGGTACTGTAGGGTATAAAATAGATGTAGTGCTAAAAATATACTACACCAAGACATTATTGTTTTTGTTGTTCATCAATTATGTGTTATAATGCATATGCTATATGAAGTCAATATTTATTTAGTGTTATATCTTCTTGTTGGATTGATCCCTTTATCATTATTTTGACATGCTTTCTTTCTTATTACAGTCTTTGCCTTAAAGTCTGTTTTGTATGATGTAAAAGTATAGCTACTCTGCTTTCTTTTGGTTTCTGTTCGCATGGAATATGTTTTTCCATCTCTTCCCTTTCAGTCATTGTGTCTTCAAAGCTGAAGTGACTCTCTCATAGGCACTGTATAGTTGCGTCTTGTTTCTGTAATCCTTTCAGCCTTAGTTTTTGATTGTAGAATTTAGTCCATTTACATTTAAAGTAACTAATAGGTATGGACTTACTATTGCCATTTTGTTAATTGTTTTCTGATTGCTTTGTAATTACTTCGTTCCTTTCTTCTTCTCTTGCTCTCTTCCTTTATGATTTGATGATTTTCTGTAGTGGCATACCTAATGTGTAAAGTTGCTCCTTTAGTGTCTGTTTTGTTTTATTTTTTTAATTAAAAAAGAATTGCTCCAGTTCAGGAGCCTCCTCTGTTGCCATTTGGGCTGGAATACCTATGAATTTTTTTGGTCTTTGGATTTTAGCAGTTATTCTATGATGTGCTTCATTACTGTTTTCTTTGCATTTTTCCTTTTTGAGAGCTTATTGAATCAATGGCTTGATAACATTCTTAAGTTATGGTCATTTCTTGGCCTGTGTCACTTTAAGTATTACTTCTGCCCAACTTTCTCTTTTGAATTTCTGTGTATCTTACTGTATGTATGTGGCATCTTATTACACTGCAAAAATCTTTTCTGCATTTTCCTTTTTTTCCCTCAGTGCTTCAGACTGAGTGTTTTTACTGAATCAATCTTCCGGCTTACTGATTGGTTCAGTATTATATTTTTTCACCTGTCTAATTGCCATTTGGTACTTTTTTTTCATTGATTATTTCTCTGATGAAATTCTTCATTTGTCATCTATATTTTTGAACATTTTAGTCAAAGTTATGTTAATATCTGTGTCTGATATTTTAAATATTTGAGATTTACTTGTGGGTCTTTCTCTGTTGACATTTCTTTTTCTCTTCTTTCTTAGTTTCCAGATATTTCATTCTTTCTACTGACACATCTGATAAGTTTTGTTGGACACCAGGCATTTTATATTACAAATTATAGATCTGGTGGATGTTT